TGGGTTGTTTTCTCTTCTCTTTTTCTTTCTCTTTTTTCTTTTCTCTTTTTCTTTTCCTTTGGTAGAGAATCTAGTCGATGAGCAGAAATTCGAAAGGATTCCATAATAAAAGAGGCATGAGCATACCCCTGATAGGTCTGATTTCCAGTTGGCAAATGAATTCTTGAAATCATTGAGAATCTCACTTGTCTTCTGAAAAATATTAATTGGTGTCAAACATGAGCCAAACATTCCTTGTAGCACCGCAATGCGACCATGTTCACCTCAATATCATCCATCTCGACATCATAGTCGCGATCCAACTTTTGACCCGAAAAATACTCCCGTTGATCTTTTATGTCCAACACGGGTCTTTCGGTGGGCTGTTCAGAGTTTAGATCTTCTATCATAATCTCATTTGTGTATTCCTTGGTTTTCTATAAGATAATTCAGATGTCAGAATGGATAAAGAAATTTGTTTTAAAATCGATTGCGTTCTCGCCATTTTACCTGAATCTCATTCCTCCTAATGTACGAAAGAAAAGAAAAAAAAATTCAAAGATACATAATAGAACCATGAGAGAATAAATGATATTCAAGTAAACTGACCTGGAGGCTTCTAATATTCGTGAACCATGCCGATTGTTACGTCTAATCAGCGAAATGATTTTAGCCTGTCGTCCAGGCTTCATGGTGATGTCGTGTTCAAGATCGACCTAAGAACAATAAAGAATTCCGATGATCCCATTACCGAAAATCGATGGGAAGAAGAATGCGTAGCATGGAACGCAAGGTTACCTCTACGTGGTCTTCCTTTGTGGCGTTCAAATCTCGAAGAATGCTAATTTTTATCCTCTTACGTTCTGGCTCGTCTTCATTGTTCAGATCTGTGAAAACATGATCCCGTAAAAGTTGAATTATTGACGACCCTCACATCAAGGAAGCATGTCTGTTGATAATGACAATAATTCTACCACTAACCCTTTTCCGTCTCCGTCCAGCATTTATCAAATATCTCGTCGCTGATCCCCAGAGAGCCATTTGATCGATCATTGAATTTTGATTGAACATATCGCTTCCAAAATTCACTTTCAGATAACATCTGAAATTCGAGTGGGACAACAAGACAGATTCATAAACTCGTGGTTTCATGAGCAAACTTTGAAAACCGACGAAAATGACTTTTATGCAAACAATTACTTTCTGTTTCTTTACATATTCATCGAACGCCGCCTTTACACGCGGATATTCATCAAATATTTCATCGATCAGTGATTTGTGAATGTTAACTTTAGAATCCCCACCTTCTTCAGTCACCGGACGCAAGGTAGGTATTATGGAGGACCTGCCTTTTTGCTGCGCCATCTGTACAGATTGATCTCTTAAAAGGTTCTATTCCATCATCCGTTCTCCATTTTAGTTTCATCACTTTAAAATCTTTGATACCACAAAAATACACAAGGACTAGCATAACAAAATGAATAATGTATGGAAATCCATACTTTTCTGAGCTCCCAGAATTCCTCTTCGGTTATACATTTCTCTTGCAGCACAAGCGTCGTGTGACGATCGGCCAAGTATTTGTCCCGAGTAAGGATCTCCCTGCGTGTCTCGAGCTCCTTTTGAGTTGGATTCTTCCTCAGAGGAACGTTCTTTCCGGTCGGAGGTATAGAGCCGTTCCTTATGGAAGGTGAAGAGGAACCGGAAGCGGGGGAGGGAGCGGCCGAGCGTTGATGAGATGGGGATGGTGCGGCGGACCTTTGATTCGCGGGAGAAGCAGACGCTGACTTCTCGGCTGAAATAAATGATGACACCGCGGCTTGAATCTTTGGAAGCGTGTTCCAGCCTTTGGGATCTTGCAACACAAATAAATAATCTTGAACCGAGTCCGCTGTCGTCGTGGATAACTTAAACTTGGGCTCGACATTCTGATTTTTGCCCATGTATAACTCTTTGAAGGAAATCGAAAATTTCATTAATATTAGTCAGTTGCGGTGATATTCCGTGTTTATTGTTTTTGAAAGGGAATCTCAGATCCGTCTCACATCCACTGACCGCCAGCCCATACAACCAGCTTTTCACTTTACGAAACAGCATCTATCAAACTATTGGGAGCCTCGATTACTTACTAATATTTTGCGATTGCGGTATTATAACTGAGGGCATCTTTCTACCAGCAGCGACCCAGAAAATTCTTTTGTTTGATATTGTCAGTTTGCCAGGTTCTTTTAGGTGTAACGCCTCTACTTGCAAGCGAATTTTTTCGTTTGAAGACTCCATGGTCCTTTTTTGTTGTACAAGAAGAATTTTCGCCAACTGCTTTTATGCTTTGTCTGCACCAGGTCACATGAAGAGGGCATGACCGTTTAATATCTTTTACAATATAAAATATATTGTGAAAAGAGTCTAAACGGAAATTGGTGTAACTGCGCGGCTGCGCATTATTTCCAGATTTCTACGGGAGAATGACGAAATGCCGGCCTAGAAGTCCGATGTACATGCGTGTCACGATGATCAGATCAAAAAAAGCTATAAGAGGACCTCGAGATCAGTTCAGACACTTCGGAAACATGTCCCTTACGCTCTTCATTGTTCGCCACGGCGAACGCTTGGATCACGTCGAATCAAGTTACAGCTACACTTCTCCGACACCCTATGATCCTCCGCTGACGCCCAGGGGTAAAAGGCAAGCGAAAAAAACCGGTTCTTATATTTACGATGTACAACTCGAGACCATGGGGAAAGATATAGATCGTCAGAGGAACGTGGAGTATGTGATATACACCAGCCCCTTCTTGAGGACGGCGGAAACCGCCATCGGAATTGCCGAGGGAATATCGACCTCTCATCTAAATCTCCCAAACAGTGCCGTTAAATTCCGAATCGACTCGTCGCTCGCCGAATGGCACACGGCGGCGTATTACGCGAATGCAGTCCCGAATAGCATCATTACTTCTCGCTTTGAAGAATTGCATCGTCTCACCGGGTCGGAACAACCTTTATTTGAGGTCGACTGGACGTACAAACCCATTCTCGATCAACTGCCGGCATACCCCGAAGGAATTCACGAGGTGTTGAAGCGCTGCACCGAAGCATTACAAGGAATAACCACCTCTTACATTCAAATTCTTCAGCAAGACAGTTCAAAGGACACCGTCTTAATACTGGTGACACACGGTTGGTGCTTCAATGTTATCCAAGAAGCTTGTTCCAAGGTCAGCACATGGATGGAAGCCGGATTCTGCGCAGTGTCTCGTGCCAGATGGACACCAGAAGGAGCCCAAGAGGAACTAAAAACCTCGAATTCAAAGGATGATCCTCCTGGCGACGTTACCACTAATAACGGTGGTCAAATTGGAAAGTGGATAGTGGATATAACGGCGGTCAGGGAACATTTGAAAGGAATATAGGAATGATGAATTGCTAACTCGTCGCGCGTACAAGTATTATACCATTTTCAATAAACATTTCTTTAGTTGCACCACAAACAAATACGCAACAAGTTGAGAAAGGGAGAAGAACTTTATTTCTACACGGTGTATCCGAGTTGGATGTGATTTTGTGAGTGATGCGCTCGAGCTTCCTAAACCGTCACATCATTTGTACCTCACTCTCCAAGATTATCTTGCGTATTGTGATTGTGAAAGCATTACAATAAAAAAAAAAAAAAGAAAAAATTTTTGATGATTGAATGGTCGTGATTCACATTAATTAAATGATTTTATATACAATATATACATTAGGAGTACATTCTAATAAAAGAGAAACGCTCTGATTAATTATTAAGGAAAATTATAATCTTTAATACTTTTGTTGTAATTTCATTATTAAATAAATATTAGAAAGAAGAATAATAATAAATGCAAATTATTTGTTCTATGTACAATTGCTCAACATACTTGATTAAATATTGGTGTTGCGATATGTTTGCACAACGGAAATCGGTCGATGATATTTGCGGGGAGGCTTCGCCTGATAAAATTCCATCGAATATCTTCACGACTAGATTCTCTACCAAAGGAAAAGAAAAAGAGAAAAGAAAAAAGAGAAAGAAAAAGAGAAGAGAAAACAACCCA